GCTTAAGGGGTCGGCCATCCGATTTTAGGGGGGTGGCTTTTTGCAAGGAACACTGAGATTTAAACGTACGTGTACTTATATATCGACTGCGTGTTATTATGTACAGTGACTGGTCGTATGGATCAAAGGCATTTGTATTATTATTATGGACGTAATGGAATATGTGCTATTGACAATAGTGACTTTATTACGCAACTTAACCATCTGTGGGTTTAGTAAGGTAAAAAAATAATTACAAAAGACAAATAAAATAAGACACACTAAAATTAAAATACACTGAAATTCAAAAAAAAAAAAAAAAAAAAAAAATAAAAATAGAAAATCTCTGAAAAATTGATTAAACAGCAGCAAGGTTCTCCCAGACCACAGTTACATACTCAACTTTAGAAAATTGTATTTTTTAAATAATATGATAAAGCCATATTATTTCCTTTTCACAAAGCTTTCCGTTCTGGACAACTCATTAATTTTTATTTTAAAATATTTCAAGACATTTTTTTTCTCTACTTCTTAGAAATTGCAATCTAAGATGAAATGCATTTCATCTTTAATTGAATTCGTTTGTTAGCTTTGTTTTACAACATTGGTTAGTTGATTAATATTGTTGATCTTGTAAGTTTCTTTTATTTTAGACAAGTTTTTTTCTTCAAACAATTTTTTTATTTGAGTAATCCAGGCAGAATTATTCTGTATTTCCTTTAATGCACATTTTAATATCATACTCACGAATTGGACTCACGCCGTCATCACGGAAACAAGAAGCCAGCGGCCATCAACCCTGAATTAAAAAATAAAAAATGTTTTCAAATTCTGTGTGTTAAAAGCCGAAGACTTGAATATCAATGGGCTTGTTTAGCTCCTCTGTCGACCTTTTCGAGAGGAGCTTATCAGACGAGTGATTGTCCATCGGCGTCCGTCGTCGTCGTCCGTCGTCCGTCGTCGTCAGTTCGTGTCAACTTTTTACCTTTTCGACTTCTTGAAGAACTAAAATTCTGTATGCTTTGTATATGTACCTTGGGCAGACCTCTCTCAGATTTGTTCATTTCGTCATATCTTCAATTCCCTAATTTTGATGAATATTTTTGTTACTTTTAGTAACTTTTTGACTTCTTATTAAAAACCGCAAGTCTGATTGCTTTGGTATTACACAATAGGGACTACAGAGCACTCTCAGATTTGTTCATTTCGTGATGATATCTTCAATTCTCTAATTATACATGTGTACATGTAGGTACCCTCAGATAGACCTCTCAGATTTGTTCATTTCCTGGTGATATATTTAATTCTCTATCTATGATGAATATTTTTCTCATTTTTAGGAAAAAGTGAAATTTGCTTCTTGTTAAAATCCACAAATGTGATTGCTTTGATACTATACATATAGGTGCCACAGTTAGACCTCTCAGATTTGTTCATTTCCTAATATCTTCAGTTCTTTATTTGAAACGTGCACTGCTAACATCGGCTGTGAGGCTGCTTGTTTTTTAACAATCCGATGAATAAGTACAATATTTTTGTATGCCGAAACAGTACAGTGCATCTCAACATGTTTTCATGTCGGAGCCTAGCACACTCCCTCTCACCAATAATTTATTTATTTTATTTATTTATTAACAGATTATTTCCCGCATGTGAAATATTGACCTTCATATATTCAATATAGTCATGATTAGCCACCTCCCATATGAATTACTCTCTTACGTGGTGACGTATTTATATTTAAAATTAAACGTATTCATGTTTAATATACGAGAATGTGATCGGCATGTGGTTGTACGTGTTTTTGCCATTGTTCTTATCTGTGTTTTTTTCAACCGTGCTCATCATGGCGGATCAGGTCGAAGTAGCTAGTGTGCATGAGTAAAAATAGTGGCTTAATCTATCGAATTTGTGCGCCACTGACTCAGTGTCGGTATATTTTGTGATAGATGTTTTCTAAAGCTCGTACAGAACCACGCGAAACAATGAGAATCAGAACGCGGCAAAACAACACTTTCACGAAATACCGCGTTTTCAAAATTTTATGGTCACTTAACTATATTCGCACAAAAAATGAGTCGTAAAAATTGATATATTTTAGTCATTTAGCCTCGGTTGGTAAAAACGTCTCATGATAGTTTAAATGTTGTTACAGTGAAAACTTAACATGTAGTTATTAAATTGGTAATAACAAATTATTAAGAACTTCAGCAGATTAATATTAATTTATTATAAAATATTCAATAACATGGATTTTTTATAAAAATAGTTCTAAAAATGTCTGTTTGTATTTGATTGATTTAGATGTTTGTAAGTGCTGGGTTAAAAAGGGCGCTATAGGGCGCTAAAGGGCGCTGGCTTGTGTCCGACATCTTACAAACCGGAACGAAACGTTGTTTTAAAAAAATAGGTTAGTCTATATATTCCTAATCACCAGACTTGTTGTTACTGTGCCAAATGTCATATACTATTGCATTATTTATTAATTCTGATAATATTACTATTTATAGCAATATTTGTTTGTTATTGCAGGTCACGTGGTGTTTTACTTAGTTACAATCATAGGTCATACGTTGGACACAGATTGTTGGTGCCACATTTCCAAAACTTTCACAATAGTTGTTCTCGCAATCCCTAATAATTATGTAGAGAAAAAAAAAGAGTGCCACAATAGTCAATATTTATGCGCGAGAACATAACATTTCTAATGACATGTTTATATTCATAAAAACTTCAGTTGATTTCATAAAATACAAAATCATTTGTACTTACCTACCCATCTCTTTATCCTAATTCTAATACCAATGCACGTATTTCTTGACTTCATTAATAATTTTCCAATTACGCAAAAGAGGTTTTACGAATTTGAATTGAGATTTTACGAATACAAATAAATTTAAGTTTAAGTTATTACAACTAGACACAGTTTAATTAAACTGTAATTTAATTGCATTTCTATATGGAATCGCAAATTAATCAAGTTGAGTTTAATTAAATTGTGATTTAATTGCATTTCTATATGGAATCGCAAATTAATCAAGTTGAATTTAATTAAATTGTGATTTAATTGTATTATATATAAAATGAAAAAAAAAATAGATTAAAAATAAAATAAAAAATGAGTACAAGAAAGCCGTGTTCTCCCTGTGCGAAAAATAGACTGGTTCGCCGTGTCAGTCCAGATCAGATAAAAAATGTCATATTTTATTGTTGTGAACAACAAATTTGCAGAAAGCCTAATTTATCCAGCCCCTCGCCCTAATTTCACATGGGTAACATCTAATAACATCAAGCTGTATCAGCCACTGTTACTAGTAAGACCAACACCGGTGCAGCTAGAGCAATTTTATTTGTATGTAATTATAAAAAAATTAACGGTAGAAATTCAAATTCAATTCAAATACACGATGAAAATGAATACTAGTAAGTCGGTGATAGAGGGCGCTTAGCGGTGTGATAACGGCGTTTGGTATAAGATACAACCCCTAAACGACGGTGTTACAAACGCTGGCGCCACGCCTGAATTTCTTGTCCACACACGTTCTCAGATATGCAATGTATTCATACGTGACCCATGAATTATGTCTGAACATCTGTTTTGGCGAAGTGCCACGTGTCGTTGGATTTCGCATCAGACCCCACTAACGGCGTGTGTTGATTTTGGAACACCGCGGAGGGCGCAACTCACTCGACCTCGTCAGGCTAACACACACAGTGAATACAAAAACGTACGCTGAGGGGTGGTGGTTATAGTATCTTTATACATACTGGTCGCCATTCTGTTACTGTGATATGTGGATCTTTACCCAAGAAACCTTTAGTAGGCAAACACTCCAATTTTCAAGTTTAAAAATTGATAAAGTAAATGTAATTATAATATAATTAAAAAAACACATTCTGATTGTATATGTAAATCATCATTTTTTTCTTACTTTTTTTCATATATTGAGTATAGATATATGCTAATTAAGTGCAAATAAAAATGTAACATTTTAACCACAGTACATAGTAGTGACATGTTTTGTTTTGAATATATTAAACAACAATGGCTGCTGAACCATAATCAAGGTCATTGCCGGTATTAACGATTTAGTGTTTTACCGGACCCAGTGCGCCAGCTTGATGTAAACAATATTTATGATTTTGTTAAAGGGGTGAAATCAATTATTTTTCTTTACTATATCGAATAATGTGCCCCAGTAGCTACTTATAGTTGTTTGTCAA